CACACAATTATAAAAGAAAAGTCTCAGATCGTTAATTAATCGTCAAAACTAAATGATCGGTTCAGAAGTATTTAATTTCCTGATATACTTAGTTTACGGAAGTAAAATTATAAACGAGAAGAATCGATCCAGAAATATTGCATTTCCATATCGAATAATTTCGCAACGTCACTATTTAGTACTTGTCATAACGTTGCAACACTGAAATCGTCAAATCTGGAATCGAATTAAAATTCCGAGTATAGTAAGCCAATGTCAGGCCAATTCACAAATGGATTTGGATGGATGGATATTATTTTTATTCATTTATACCTCTATACACAAGAATAAAGGTACATAAGATGGACTTGGAATTTAAATAGACATTGAAACTAGCCATTCATCTTTTTTTAACGGGCTGAGCGCTTAGTGAGCTTATTGCAGTATAATATTTTTGTCTTCTGAATATGGGGATTATAGTAACACCCCATTCCCTACCCCCCTCATAAGATAGAGGTTTGTTCCGCATGTATAACAATAAACCATCATCCTCTACAGGGTGCTTACTCTTGAAACCAATCTCAATGTCAATGCAATAAAATCTCAATAATTATTCAATGTCAAAAATATACTGTTATGTTGGTGGATTAATAAATTGTAGACGGATTTATTATACTTGGATTTATTACAATAATGTGCAGGGCGCACGACGTGTACGCACACTTAGACTATGAAAGGTAGACAGCGACGTTGATGACAACCTTATATAACACATTATAGTGAGGGGGCGACTACTTACTAATTAGTGATGTTCATCATGTTCACATGTAACATATACAACCCTTATCGTAGCTGTTAAAATAGCATTCAGAGTACGGAATATAAAGACAAACTCAATACCATATAGTTCATTCAATATCCAAGCAATACGGATGCAATGGGCGCTAGTGTTGCAACTCGAAAGTACGAAATGTCACAATACCAATGTCGATCGATCGGAATTGGATTCAAGAGTAACCCCCATATTTCATGATACATCCCCTCTTGTCCTCAGTTGGAGCAGACAGGTCCGGACGCTGATTCCGACCTCCTGAACCAGTTGACTGGAGTACCAAACGAGGATGACGAGCTACTCTTCGCTGTACCTGTCGTGGCGCCATACTCCGCGCTTGTGAACTACAAGTGAGTATTTCTATAATATATTTATATAGATTAAAAATTGGACTGCTTCGTTGGCCGAGTAATTGCAAGTGCGACTGTCGGGCAAGGGGTCGCGGGTTCGATTCCCGGGTCGGGCAAAGTATTACTGGGTTTTAAAAAAAATCTCAGTAGTAGCACTGAGTCTGGAATTGTGTCCGGTATATGGCAATAGGCTCACCCCATATTACATGGGACTTATAATATAAATAGTGAACAGTGGGTGTTACATTGTACAGTGGTATAATGTGCACCTCTGCCTACCCCTTCAAGGACAAAAGGCGTGATGTTATGTTATGTAAAAAATATTAGAAAAACGCAGACGAAGTTGCGGGTTTAGCTAGTTTATGAATATAATTTTATTTGTGCGATATCAACAATGGTTTATCAACAACCCCCTATTAAATGAAAAGTGGGTGTTTAAGTGCTGTAATAAAAATGTATATAAGAAATTATAACATTTGGGTCTTGCTTCCCTAAGGGGTAGGCACATTTTCAATGTAGCTCACTCACTAACTGAATTTATTCACGTTATATTTTATGAATAACTTGAATAATACTTTGCACGACCCAGTAATCGAACTCAACACCGCCATAACTTCATTAATACTTTGCACGACCCAGAAATTGACCTCAACACCGCACCATCTTAAAGTAACTAAACAGCAAGATAATGAAACTTAATTTCAATTCTAATCTATTTATTATTTCTTCAGGTACAAAGTTAAGTTAACTCCAGGCACCGGCAAGCGAGGTAAGGCAGCGAAGACGGCAGTACAAGTATTCCTCCGCGACAAGGCAGGCACTGCCAGAGAAAAGGATCTACTCAAAGCCGTCAAAGAAGAAAATATCGCTCGCAACTTCCCCGGGAAGGTGAAACTATCCGCGCCACAGTTGCATAAACATAAGAAATAGAAATTTGTTTTTATAATAACTATCGTGAGACATATTAAATTAACTAAATATTGCGGGGTACTCACGTGAATATACTGAGATGGCTCTACTAGCGGCGATGTCAGTACGCTGCCTGACATCGCCGCGACCGCAAACGCTGATCATGAGGAAGAACCCCTCTGTGGTTCGAAACTATTTATTTATTTATTTTGGTTAACCAACAATTGTTTACACTATATACATTACTGATTAAACTGTCAAATACCAAGCGGACACCGGTGACCGCAACCTATTGTTCTATAATTGTGTCTATAATTACGGTACTCAACGAGTTAAATAGCTATAGAAACATTTACAAGTGCAACAATTAATTATAGGTTAACACCACATGCGAAAAATAAAACGGTAAACAAAACATACAGAAAAATAACGAGTGATTCCATGGGTGCATATCTATCTCAAAAAGAAAAAAAAACAGAACTAGTAGAGCTTTTTTCAGTATATTCACGTACGTAACCCGCGATGTTTAGTTAACTCAAATATGTAGGTTATTTATTAATTTTAAACCTAGCCTGTCATGGCTCTGCTCAGATGCTATTTCAGTGGAGTTTTCCCGGTGAATATTCCATATTATGTATATAAGGTTTTTATTATAACAATACAAATAATTATCTTATTTGGTACAGCCGTTCTAGAGTTATGAACGTACATACATTTCGCAGATTCATTTTTTCAATTTCACTTTCATAAAAATCTTGTCCTAATAATAGTAAAGAATGTAATGAAATATACAATTGGTGCAATAATTTAGAAGTTAGACGTAGATATTTATTTTAAGGTCCAAGAAAAATTACGTCAAAATCTATCAAGCAGTTTGATAAAGATCTTATGTGGCCTACATAAGGTTTAGATTACGTTTTTAAATCTCCATTTACAAAAAAATAGGTAACAATCAATGAGTATATATTATCAGGTATTAATATTTTAGCTATGACTATTAATTATCAATAATTACCGGCATACTGCCATTTCCAAAAAGCTGTGTATCTGTAGATTTGATAACTAAAGATAGAATTTTGACATATTTTGTACGGAATTTAGCAAGTTTTTCACTTCTTGAATGATATAGTATATGTAACTAACTCATTTTCTGCCCTACAATAGCTCTAAAACCAAAACGTTTCATATCCAACGAGAAATCCAATATTTCAACAATAATGTAAATAAGTATGTATTTACTATTAATACGAAAATAAAAACTTTTTCAATGAAATGTCTACTTTATTCTAATAGCAATAAGTTGAAAATCGCGTGGCTTGAAATTAGGTCTAATCTTCTTCTTCTATTTCTTCTCCGTAGCCCTCTCCTTCTCCCATCATCGGTGGTGGCGGGGGTGGCGGTAGGTGGGCGATGCGGAATGCCTAGAAATGTGAAAATTAAAATAAGAACCGCAAGCCTCAGAAAATAATGAAAAAAATAGTAATTATGACTGCCTCGTTGGCCGAGTGGTCGCAAGTGCGACTGCCGGGCAAGGGGTCTCGGGTTCGAGTTCCGAGTCGGACAAAGTATTACTGGGATTTTTAAGTTCTCATTAGTAGCACTGAGTCTGGAATTGTGCCCGGTATATGGCAATAGGCCGGCCCCCTATTACATGAGACTCATAACATAAATAGTGAAAAGTGGATGCACATTTAATTTTTACAGTGGCATAATGTGTACCTCTGCCTACCCCATCGGGGATAAAAGGCGTGATGTTATGTAGAAATTATGATACTACTACTAGTAATCATACGAGTATGGACTACTTAAAGACCTATTTAATTCTCAGTTCGGCCCCGGCCGCACGAAAGAGGAACGGTGGCGATTTGTAACCGCGTAATATTGAGAAATAAGAAACTTGAATAAAGCCGCCGCACTTGCCCGCGCCCGTTTTAATATTACGCGGTTAAAAACCGCCGCGATCCCGGTCCAAAGAGTCCTTTGCAACAGATATAATTAAATACTAGAAAATATTCTCTGTTGTCTAAAAAGACAACACTGGTAACGTTTATCCATCACTCAATAACCATCAATTTCTAGTCTTTTTAAAATAGTCAAAATTCAGACCTCTTCATCTGCAAACGTGGGATCAGCCATCTCCATAATTTCTGGTCCGATCGGGTACTCCACCTGCGGTACGGGGAGCTGCAGGGGGGAGAAGTTTGGGGGCTGGTACTTGAGTCCCCAGCCAACGTAGAGACACTCGGATTTTCTGACAAAAGACAGATATTTATCACTATTATGGCTGTTCATCTATACAGATAAACAAAATCGGAGAGTGTCTGTTTGAAATATTGTAATAACCGCTTTTCCTATGAATTTCTATACATACGATACATATGGCAAAATAACACTTTTTACATTTTTTGTCTATCTGTTATCCCAAGAAAGGACTGTAAAATTTCCCTAAAGTGTCGGTAAGTACGAAAGCATAAGGTGTACAATCAACGGCTTCATTTAACGCCTTTAGGAATAAAATGCCTGATTCATTATTTCTTGCTACTTTCCACAAATCATTAAATCCTTGCTCCTATTTTATTATTTCTTTTAAATTACATTTTCATTTCAACCTTTCAAAACACTACCACTCACTTGCCAGTAGTGGCATAAGCCACGGCTCCTGGCCAAAGGTTACTCCTCAGCACGACCATGGCCCTGTCGGGGCATAGGGTACTGCTGACCCTGGCACTCCACGCCGTCAAGCCCTCGATCCTGGCGTCCTCCGACAGCGACGTGAACAGGGAGGGCCCTACCTCCGGCTCTATTGGAGGTGGACCGTCCATATCTTCCTCCTCTAGGCCTTCGTCCTGTGAGGTAAATCAAGTAATTATTTCAAATATTTTCGGGTATTTTTTAGTTTTTCTAACCAATTTGTGTGCTTGCCAATCTAGCACAAATGTAGCGTGCGGTCATATTATTTGTCCAATTGAGAATTTCCTACAATCAAACTACCTGTTAAACATTTTTTTGGAATAAGCCGGCAAACGAGCACACGCATCACGGATGGTAATCAATCGGCGACGCCCATCATCAGAACATCAGAGGCATTACAAGTGCGTTACCGGCGTTATGAGGGTTAGAAATTTGAAGATTGTTGGAGATTCAGGGATTGAGGAAAGGGGAGTGTGGTAACTGGGCCTCCGGTAACCCGACTCACACGATGAAGCACAACGCGAGCGTTGTTTCACGTCGGTTTTCTGTGAGGCCCTGGTATTACTCCGGTCGAGCCAACCTATTCGTACCGAAGCATGGCTCTCCCACACTTAAAAAATACATTTCTGACAGCCACCCAACAAAACCGCCATTTGATACATATATTTTACAATCTACTTTTCTCACCATCCCCGCGTTAGGGTTCCACCACAAAGTTCTCCCCTGCTTCAGGATGTGTCTCCCGTGGTGGACCCAGTACGTCAGGTTGGAGTCCATTAGGTCCTTCAACGTGTGCCCCTGGTAGAATGGGTTCGGATTGAACTCCATGTCACCTGTAACCGGAGATCAAAATATTTTTTTTATTTTGTCATGAAAATAATGAAGCTTTTGAACATGGTAACTTCATACTTATTTTGTTAGGTACTCATCTAAGGACTAGGTAGGTACTCCTTGGAATACGGATGTCATAATTCAGTCTTTCAGCGTGTTAATGATGTTCATTGTTATAAAACAGTCCAATATGCTGTACAGGTTGTAACCGAAGCGCTACCTATAACGCAGACAATTTTTACGAATTTCAAAAAAGGAGGAGGTTCTGTTTCGTTTACATCCTGTAGACTATTAGAAATACGGAGCCGCGGAAAACTTAACGGGTTACCGGGGCTCCGGCTCGAAGTGCAGGTGTAGGAACAGGGTGGATTTTTGTCAGTAAGAGTCTGACACTCCCTCCCACTTCACCCAGCCCGGAGAAGTCATTCGATGATTTCCTCCCCTTAAAAAAAGACTATTAGAAAATGCACTTGACTTTGAGTCTGCTGAGGTGCAAAAATGTTCTGAAGACTGAAGTATAAATAATAATGACATTCAAGAACACAAACCACCCCCTTCTTCCATGTCCAGGTCTTCCTCTTCCTCCCCTGATCCAAACGTGAAGAATCCTTGCGGGGAAATTGACGTGGCAGCAGCGATGCGACCGATTTGAGCGCGCAAGTACTCTTTCTCCGTACCCTCGAACGGAGGGAAGGTTATAACCTGGAATAGAATATAATTGAACTATTCGAGCATAAGGTACCTATGACTTACAGCAATGCTTATTTGGTTGGAATGTTGCTTTTGGACTCGTTTCTCATTAAAAAAGTGAAGCGAAGTTATTATCAATTAACGAACACAATAGGGATGATGACAGGGTATGAAAAATTAAAAATGTAATTAGTCCATCAGTAAGGTAATGAAAAAATATTAGACTAAATCAATATATCGTCGAAACTATTCGTTTAAAATAAAAAATACGTGACTAATGTTTTAAAATAATCTACCAGATGGACATTAAAATAAAAATTAGGCATCTATATAGGATAGATCTATACTTCTTCAGGATTTCAGGGTATAAAATATAATGTATGTTTTACTTCATGACCAAATCACGAATATTGAAGCCTATAATAACCCTGGACTAATGAGGCATTCAATCATCGAATAATATTTTATAATAGTTCTACATTTCGATAATATCAAGGATAGGTTTCTGTACCTCAGACTCCAAATCCCCAGTCATACAGCGCACGGAGAGCCTGGCGACGCGGACGTGTTCTGGTCTGATATCTGGCAGACAGATCCATGGCTCGCCTGGACGGTTGCAAACCCAATACACCTGCAAGGCTTACTTTAAAATACCTATCACATAGTCTTCAAGTAGTTAATTCGTATTATCTATGCTCAGCTAGAAAATGTCAACTGAACAAAGGCCTGTTATGCAGGGGTCACATGTGTAGGTCGTCAGGCATTTTGTAGGTCGCTTAACTACGTATCGGTTCCTACCGATCTGGTAGTCATTGGGGAAAGACTATGTTCAGCAGTTAACGTCTTATGACCGACAAGGATGAAGTAGGTACACAGACTTCTTCGAGGTAGCTGCTTTAAAAAAGTTTTTAATAAAACAAACAATGAATTAATAGATTCAATCCACAACACTTTCCAGTTCTTTAAAAGAATTACTACTAAACCTTCCTATTGACTCCCTGGCCGGGTCGTTCGACAGGTATGGGAGCAGGCGCCTGCCACGTGGACACTGGCTCTGGAGGGATTTTGGGAGGCACTGGTTCCTTGGAAACTGGCTCTTTCGCCTCCCCCTCACCAACTGGAGAGGAATTAAAATTCCTTTTTGTGACTTGCATACTAATTATTATTATTGAAGATTTGTCCTTTTCACTGCTTATATTAACTTTATTCGCTTTAGTACTACACATGACTTCTCCAATTGTGTCAAGTTGCCCCCCCCCCCCCATCACGCCACGTTGTTGATTTTATTATGACCAGAATAATTGTAATGGACAATATGTAGATTTAGAGAAACGAGATTTCAAGAGTTGTCTCTACAATCCCTACAGATTTGCTTACATCTCTATATCCAAGGTAGTCTAGATTTGTATTTTTATGTCATAATACCGACTAGGTAAAAAACTGCCTAGAAAAAATGGGTAAATGGTAACTGAAGGTAAGCCTAAAAATTATTTATTTATTTACACTTCTGTATATAACATACGATGGCATCTTAATGCCGGGTGCCACCTACTGGTGCAGAGATATGCAACAGTAGGTGTAATAGGTAGTATGATTCAATTATACATCATCCACACTTTTTGTAAGATAAATTATTGTTGGTCATCTTACGTATCTCTGCCTGTTCCTCTATAGCGTGGACTCTGGCCTCGTCTATAGCTTCGCCTTCTCCAGGCATATCCTTCATCTCGAAGGCCTGAAATTTAAATAAAACTGTTTACATTTTTAAACAGTTCAAACCGAATTAACTAAAAGTCGCGTGAAGTCAGCAGTAATAGTAGTAGTTAGATACGTACAGGTCGTACCTAACTGTAGCACTATTTGTTAGTTAAATTAGTTTTTTATTTCGTATTTTCCAAGAGTGAATGAACATTTGATTAATTCTCGGATGAATAATATGAAAATACCTATGCGACGAATAGAAAAATCAATATTTATAATTATACGAATTAAGGTATACAACAAGAATACGTTGTAGAATATTAACCTTTAGATTAAAAGACAGAAAGATAGGCAATTATTATACCTTTGTAATTCGAATAATGTTTTAAGACATCTTTTAATACGACAACATGTAGGTAGGTATAAGCCTAGCAAAAGAACCGTCTGCTAATTAGAATCAATGAGTTTTCGTTCGTTAGCCTCGTTAAAACTCGAACAGGTGAACCGAGTTGGTTAATTTTGGTATTGACGTCCAGGAA